AAGTTATCTCACGTTACTTCGTTGCGCCACGACATTTCAAAATCGCTATCAACGTAGCCCCTCCACGTTAGAACCCCCGCAATGTTTTGACCACTGCTCGTTGTTGCTTTTTATTTATACTTATCAAGCATAACATATACATGCACAAGCATAGCTTTACGACGGTTCAGTTCCGATCTCCGGTCAAGACCTTACCATACAAGGCATCGAAAAATCACTGCTATCAAAAGTGGAAATTTTTGCATTGCGTCCTGGAAACAATTTAATATTATTATTTTTTTTTTTTTTTATAATAGGTGATAGAAATAACAAAATTTCAAAATCCATTAAAAAGTCTATTCTTGAACTTTATGTCGGAGAAATAGAAATTTGTGTTTTATAAATTTTAACCAACGCCAACCTTGTACTTGAACTGAAATTTTCTTGCAACTGACTGTGTCAATTAGCTGTATTGCATCATTATACAAATAATTTTTACTCGAACTTTACGAAACAAGTTGCAAACACACCCACAGTAAAAAAAAAAACTGATTCGAGATTTTTTTAATTAAACAGTAGGGGATCACACGATGTTTACACTTTCGAACGGATTGTAAGCCCCAACTACCACTGTGATGTCTTTATCTGCGTTAATGTCATATTCATGAAATCATTCTGAATTTTGTTTCTTGCAAGAATAAGTAATGAACATTGTCAAAATGTCTGAATGTGTTACGTACGACAGCATAGCTATGCGCCCGTATACTTCTGGTCTTTGGAGGTCGGGGAGTAGAGACGAAAGAGAGTGACAGAAAAGCAAGAGATGAGAAATGGAAAGTACCAGGCCCGAGGTATGCACGCTGCTCGCAGATAAGAGATGCAATAAAGGAGCGTTGTCAACACCAAGATGAATGAAAAAATGCAGCAGCACAGAGATGGAAACATATAGAAAAAGGAAGAAGGTACATTTAGACGGAAAAACAAACTACGAATACAGAAGTGGAGTCACAAGCAGATTAATGGCCTTATAAAGTAGGAAAATAAAGATAAAACATCAGATATTAGATCTAAAATTAAAAACAGTAGAAACAGTGAAATTATCAAATTAAGAAGTAAATACAAAAGTAAGAAAAAGTGATCAATACTGACTTAAAATTAAAAAAGATTAAAAATAAAAAAATGTATTTGCGCATGTGTATGAATTAAAAATAGATCCTAAAAATTAAAAGGGATATAAAAACAGAGGAAACAAAACTAAGAACCAATTTTTGTTCCCATGATGAAGTCAACTAGTAATGTCATTAAATTATCCTTGGTTTGGACGAAAAGTAAAATATAACATGTATAAATGACGGTTAGGTATAACTGTAGAATGTGCGTTACACTTTGTTTTTGTAGCAACATAATATAGTCGTACTACGAGTCGAAAAAAAATTAATGATGGAACAGTCACCATTTAGAAATAAAAAAAGTACTTATCAAATGAACATATGAAAAGCATCCAATATGTCTAGTATATGAAAAAAAAAACTTATTACAATATTTATGAAGGTTGATCTTCTATTAAAAAAGATACAAACTCCTTAAGGAAGTGTCGAACATTATTTGGGGGGCCTCATATGTTTTAAAGCCGGTCCTGCATGTAATAGATAAATGATAAATATAAAACATTATGATTTTATAAAACACTCATACTTTCTCATACACTTAGTAACGTATATTACGTGAATTGCTTTGGAAAATAATTTAAAACAAGGAGATAAAGTTTAAAGCAAGAACTAGCGTTAAGCCACACAATAAAAATAAGTAGTCGATTACCTAGCAACCTCGATAAAAATTGCATAGATTATCGATTTGTCATTGTGTAGTGAATTTTCTCAAAGTATATCAATCCTTTGAAAATCACGTCCAAACAATATATATACGCCCACAACACCACATACTTTCCCACTGACGAGTAATTGAGCGCATTTAGAAGTATGAAAAACAGTTGCGTGAGCTAACGGACAATGTCAAAGGTGTAGGTGTAAGAGACAACGGTGATTTTATTCAAAAGAAATTAGACTTACAGGTCATCTCGGATTTTTAGATGGTACATTATGAAAATTATCGGATTGACCTAATTTATTCAGCTACTTGAAAAATTATCTAAAAAATAAAACTCCGAAGTATCTCACGAGCGTATCAACTTTTTGCGATAAATTTCTTCGATCGCTTACGTATTTTTTTTTTATCGCTCGAAAAAGTGCTCCAAGATCAAAAAAAACTCATTGTTCTGACTTTTGTTTGAAAAAGCGTTACGCACAAATCTACCAACACATGATTGCATCTAAACTCCTCACACTTTATGTAATCTCAACAAGATGAAAATTTCCATCGGAATAAAAAAAAAGTCAGACACAATGCACGTAGTTCGTATTTTACTTCAAATCGATGCATACCTATTCAAGTATACACGTAGGCTTAGTACAGTTGCCATTAGACAGATACTATTTAACGACAGTGATCACCGTATTGATTAAATGATTTATTACCATGGGCTGTACTTATGACAAATAATAAAAATGATCGACACACATGGACGAGATTCATAAATACTCGAAGATGTAGGAAAGGTAAATAATTTCAATGAACGTTACTAACAAGATATTACTTCGAAATGTTTTCAAAGATTATAAAGAAGTCTAGAATTTCAAAAAAAAAACCGTAAACTGGCTTATATCGTTCGAGTGAGAATCAGCTACTCTCGTCGTGATGATAAGTCCACTATTATTGAGCAACAACGAGAGAGAGAGAGGCAATGTTTTCTTCAAGCAAAGATAATTAAAACAATAATTCAAAATATGAGTGGACATTCGGAAGGTTGAGGTTTTTACAATGAGAGAGCAAAGTGGTAGTGATTTTATGTAATCAATGTTATTTTTATCCTTGTCGCAAGCCCCCCGTCCCCCAAGTAGACTTGAACTCAACCCAAGCGATCAAAGCTGTAAACTGCTCTATATCTTGTATCAAACTCAAAATGTATACGGATTGATTAAATATTAATTACAATGTGGTACGAAAAAATAAAAAAATGACGCATTGGATTGAAGAAGAGTAGACGCTTGTTTCACTCCGCAGAGCTTCAATGGACATTTTTTAGTTAATCCATACATGCTTGATTGAATCAATGAAAATCTGAAAAGTTTTATAAATAACGATTTCATCTCAAGTAGCCATACACAGAATTTAATTTAAAAAATTATCTGACTCCACATTAGGAAAAAATATTACAGAACCCTATTAGTGCCATTCTTGTAAAAGTGTTGTTTCATTTCAATTTCAAAGCGTAAAATACAGCTCGGAATTGTCAGTAGAGTGGGTGTAAACTCCATCTCGGACAAAACGTCCATTATCTTTGAGAATTCGTCTTCAAAATATTTACCATTAACATGTCTCTGTAATTTGGGAAATCCAAAAATCTCAACAGTAGTTTCCGTCATCCGGGGCAAGCTCTAGGCCTATGAAAAAGGGTCCCCAGGGGCTCTTTGTGCGCATCAGACGTGAACTCCACAGTGTCTCCTACACCAAAGGGGCAGTCAACGTCTGAAGTTAAAAAGAAAGCGCCTAGAAAATAAATTCCAACTATCGAATGTATTTATATGTATATGATTGGCCAGTTAGCCAAGCACTCGTTGAAATGGGGTGGTGAAAATAAAAAATTCCGTTTCAGTTCATATCAGCTGATAGTTGAGGGAAAAAGACACAACAGCTGTATCAGCTACAGACGACGATAACGACCAGCTGTTCGTGCTACGGCGAACTCTGGGCTCGAAAAATTCTGATCAACGAGTTGCAGCTTCAGTCCTCTCGGAGATATGCCGTTTGGAGCGCACATGTTCGATTTAGAAATAGAGTTTGGACTGCAATTTTTGCTGAATCTCGTTATAAAAATATAGAAGATGGAGTTACCAGCAATGGATTGTATAAGAATCAATTGAGTAAACTTTTTTTTTTAATCCTTATCTCAAGGAAAAACCATAATTAAACGTGCACTTGGAATCGTGCTTTCATTTCAATTATTTTAAGTCATTTTAACTACGTACGTGATGGTACTTTTTTTTTTCCCTCTAAAATTTCCAAAAAAAGCTAAGTAAAGTTGGAAAACACAGCAATCCATCAAATACACGCACAACCGATAGATCACGGCGACGCCGTCAACAAGGAAATAAAATAATCTCTCAAATACACGCGTAGCTGATAACACGTGCTGTCAACAAATTTTGTTCTCTCTCTCTCTCTCTCTTGCCCCCTAAAATCACCGAGAGCTCGACGCACACACACGTGTACAGCTCTTGATCAATCTCTCGCAAAGACATGATAGCGACGCAGCTGAAAAATTGATTGCTCTCTCCTCCCTCTTTTTAACTGCGACCGGTTGCAGCCAAACGCAGGGACATTTATAGCGCAAATAAGCCAGCCAGCCGATCCCTCCCGCCGATCGTCGTCATCTCGTTGTTTTGCGCGGAGAGAGATAGCGGGCCCAGAGCGGGGCGGCGAGCCGAGAGTCGATTCGTGCATCGTCGTCGGCGTTGTCGAAAAATAATGGACGGGCAAATAGCTCGCGAGCTCGAGCGAGACGAGAGACGCCGAGCGAGAGAAATCGCGAACCGGCTGCCACGTATAAAAGCATCGCGCGCCACCGGACGAGTTGCTAATACACTTTTCGATCTCCAACCCTTCGCTCGCCGTGTCAACTGTAAAAAAAAAAAAAAAAAAAAAAAAAGAAAGAAACAGTGAGCCGCACCCGCGAGACGTTTAATCCTTTTAATCCACTCGGCCGAGTCCCTTCGTTAATTAATACCGCGGGGAGGAGGAAAAAAAAAAAAAAAAAAAAAGAAAGAAACAGCGAGCCGCACCCGCGAGACGTTTAATCCTTTTAATCCACTCGGCCGAGTCCCTTCGTTAATTAATACCGCGGGGAGGAGGACCGCGTGCCGGTGCTCTTCTTCTTCTTTGGCGGACAAGAGCCGTCNAAAAAAAAAAAAAAGAAAGAAACAGTATAATCATCCAAGAGACAAAAGTATACCAGTGCAAGCTATAGAAAAAAAGTCTCGGTTAGAGGAAGTGACCGAGAAGAGAAGCCGAGCATCCACCGCGACGTCTTGCCGATTTGTGAGCCACACGCAACCCCCAACAGGACTATTTCTAGGTCTGCTCTTGCCACTGTCTTTTCCTCTCTTGGCTTTCTCATCCAGCATCCCCACCCTATCAGCGACCACCACCACTAGTCGACAAAGCCTCGTATCAGGAGTCTAGCTCGAGACTCGTCAACAATCAACTCCCGGAAGTCGGAGATCGGCAGCAGCGGTAGAACAACAAAGCGGCTTATCCCTTCTCCCGCGAGTCCCCGCCCCAAAAGGCCGCTCGACCGTTGTCCATAGGGGGCCAAAATCTCGTCACCGACTTGTCTCCTCGTGGGTATAAAAGGAGCTGCTCTGGCCGCCATCGAGCAACATGTCAACGATCCGATGGATAGAAACAGGCTTGCTCCGATCCTCGACTGCGAATTGGCTGAGCTCGAGAGGAGTGTCCCCGTGGAGCCAGGCGACCAAAAGGTCCTTCGCCGCGTCGAAGGGAGGATCGGGCATCAGCATCAGGATCGGTGGATACAGACTTGAGACCAAAGCTTCGCAGGCCTGTTGCTACCTTGGCAAAAGGGACTTTGGCCTTTTCAAGTGGAGAACTCTTGGAGCTAGAAACGCAGACAGGATGCCGATCACCATCGAGTCTCGTTACCCCCGGTAAGTGGTCTTTCTTTACCCTCGATTTTTTTTTTTTTTTTTTTTTCCATTTGTCTCTCGTTCGATTGGATGTAGGAATTTTTGGAGCTCGGCATTGATAAAAATTTTATCAAATCACATACGGTTGGTGTGCTCGTACAGAGAGGGAGAGAGCCCAGAACAACACGTGCATCGGACAAAACGACGTCCGATTGAGCTAAATCGAGTGCCCTGTTGCATCAGCTGTTCGAACGAAAATCGCGCTCAACCCGCGTCGATCGACGTCTTGCGTTACCGACTCGATTTTTCCGGATCGCGAGCTTTCGACACACCCGCTTTCTATCCTCGGCAGTATAACCCACATTTGCACCTCGATTTTTCAGGAGGCTGGGGGAAGGGAGATTAGAGAAACAGTGCAATCGATACTTACCCCGAAATGAAATAAAAAAGAGACACAACGAGTTTTTCCACTGCAAAGTCAGTGGTCCTCAACCTGAGAGCAAGACATGTACATATATTTTCTCCTCTCTCGAAGCATGCGCACGTACAAAAAGGGGAACTTGTTTTTAAACGGCGACAGAGAACTTGAACGAGAGGGGCTCGATCTTTTCGCTCTTGTGACATTAATCCCGGATGATGTAATCTGCGAGCGTTCGGAGTATGTGGAACGCCGTTTGAGCGCTGTGGTACATTGTGGTGACGATGATTATCGTGTTACATTGCCGATGAAAGGAAAAATCTTATCTATCTTGTACTTTGTACCCATGTTTTTTTTTTTTTTTTTTTTTTTAACAGCTGATTCCATACTTTGGGGACTTTCCCTCGAGATAGCGATACATGTGTTCGTATCAAACATTTCAGGTTGCACTATCGTCGCGATCGAAGATTCGATTTTTGGTTTGATGTTCTGGAAATTTTTTTTTTCAACTGCAGACTATCTTTTGTTTCATTTTTTTGTTTGTTACTGTTCAAGGAAACAATCAATTTACTTTAGAAACACTCGAACGTCAACTTACATTACCAGCTATGAATCATTCAGAAGCCGTATTAGACTTGCACCTGTACAAGTGTATCTTTTGTCTTGAGGCTTTGTCAATCAGTGTGAAGTAACATTGGTTCTTTCTCACCTGCAACGAATTCAATGTCATTTAAGATTTGAGGAGTTATGTGTTAATATATTTCTGTGTTATCCTAAAATTATTTTAACAAATTTTTGTCAAAGATATTATACAATGGAACATACATGTTTAACAATATTAATGGCCCAATCGTATAGAATTTTTTTTTTTTTTTCATTGCTATTACGTGATTTTTGTTGGTATTTCTGCTATTATTTGCGACCCATTCCGCAAGCTCGAATTATATTTTTTAAATTTAACAGTTAAAATTTTTATTCACATACCTATTTCACTCGTATTACTATTTAATATTTGACAATAAATTTAAAAAATTCTATTTTTTAGGATTTTTTCTTAGTTAAAAAGAAAAAAAATATCTAGAAAAGCTAGTTTATGATGGTAGTTAATAAAAATTTAAAAATTTCGTAAGTACTAGTAAATGTACGTTCCTTTAGTGTAGCTCATTAAAATACGATGACGAAAGCGCTCCAAGATACATTTTCAATCGAAATCTCTTTGTATGCTTGACACAACATCAATCCAGTTTTACAAGAGCCTTGTTCCACTCGATTATTTGAAATTTTTACTAAATTTGACATTTTCATACGTAATCGGTATTAAATTTCAAAATGGCAAATTACCAAAGCTCACGAATTACTTTCACAATATTTACGGAAAAAAAAAAACACTTGACTACAAGAGCTTTTGTCTACTTGGTAAGCTTCTCAAGCTGATTTTCTGCAATGCAGCCAATGTCAAGTTCAAGCCAAGCGACGCTCAATCATCATTCAACTGCATTGCCCTTTCCACCCCGATGGCGCTCGCTGGAGCTTTCATACCAGCAGAATAATTCAAACTCACACACCTTCCCTTTCGGTAATTCCTCTTTACCTTATCACTCCTACAATTGTCACGTTTGATTAACCAAGTGACCACACCAATGCACCCAATACACCGACCGCAAGGTATCACCTCAGCATAAAAGGATCCAAATGAAGCCCCGGCAAAGCAGCCCCTACCCTCGTTAGAAAAAAAAAACGTAACCACTTCAGTCCCCAAATAGCTGTCTCAAGCGAAAGTCGTATACGGCACTCGACCAACTCCGATCGTGATTTTTGTTCCAGAGTCGCCAAGCTGATGGTGACCCAAGCCCCGAAAACCAGCCCCAACAGCAAGTACGATACCTACGATCGGATCGCTGACACACCGGTCATTAGTCGCCTGAACGCGCCCCTCGCCCCGAAAGTCCGAGCTTTCATCGAAGAGGCTGTTAGGCTCTGTCGGCCCGACGACGTCTACGTGTGCGATGGCAGCGACTTGGAGAACAAGCAACTGCTCAAGCTGCTTGAGAACAAGGGCACCATACAACCCCTGCCCAAGTATGACAACTGGTGGGTATTGCATTTCTTTCTATACTATTTTTCATTTTCATCGTGACATCGTGAAATTTTACCCCATGCAGTAGTCTACCAAACACGGACTTTACATCTCTTTCGTGTTCAAGTATCCGTATAAATTAATGCCTCAATTTGAAACACTACTTGTTTATTTTTTTTAAATATCTGTAGCTTGAACTGAAAAAAAAAAATTTTTTTTTCCAGCCGTTTACGCGGTACGATTTTTTGCAGATTTTGTCACGGTGTCTATATTAAAGTCCTTTCGAACGCCTGTTTGGCGCATTTATTTTTGAGATCTGGCACGCAATAGAATTTCAAATCCTCGAATGACATATTAATGAAATGTTAATTTTTCCAACACAATGACTTATTCACCTTGAACAATCAAACTCGTGTTATAAAACAATACATTCTTGATATTTGGGTAACCGTGCCCTATTAATCGGTACATTCATGCAATTTGTGATGTGGGCGAAAATACGTGTGTGGTTTCGTAACGTGTGACACGCTTTACCCCCCAGACATATAAAAAAAACATTTAATAAATGTAAAAAATACGATGACGTTATTATCTGGAATGCAAATACTGCTTCAATAATGAATAACAATTTTCCCTCGTTTAACTTCAGCTGGTGGGCCAGAACGAATCCGGCCGACGTGGCTCGCGTTGAGAGCAAAACCTTCATCTGCACCCCCAACAGAAGAGAGACCGTCCCGACACCTCGAACGGGAGTCAAGGGCACCCTGGGCAACTGGATCTCCCCCCAGGATATGGACAGTGCCATTCTGGAGCGCTTCCCCAACTGCATGAAAGGTACAGGGACAATCAAGGATATGACAATCAGAAAAAGTGAAAAAAAAGTCCCTCAAACCCTTTTTTGGTCCGATAGGCCGCACGATGTACGTGATCCCCTTCAGTATGGGTCCAGTGGGCTCGGCCCTGTCGAAGATCGGTATCGAAATCACCGACTCGGCCTACGTCGTGTGCTCGATGCGCATAATGACCCGCATGGGCGAGAACGCCCTCCGTGCCCTCGGCAGGGCTGACTTTGTCAAGTGCCTCCACTCGGTGGGCGCGTCGACCGGCAACGGCAGTGACAACGCGACCTGGCCTTGCGACCCCGAGCGCACGATCATACTCCACCGACCCGCGAGGAACGAGATCGTCTCATACGGCAGTGGCTACGGGGGCAACTCGCTACTCGGGAAGAAGTGCTTCGCGCTTAGGATCGGCTCTACCATCGCCCGTGACGAGGGCTGGCTCGCCGAGCACATGCTGGTAGGTGGTTTGCCGGACCCTTCATGGGATCAGAAAAAAACAAAAAAAAAAAAAAGAAACGACCATGAAAGTCCGGCTGGCCCTTAAAGAAGGAGCACTGTGGATAGGGTTGGGTGGGGGGTGATGACTAAAGAACCGTGTCTAAGCGAATGTCCGGTCGACACTCAGATCCTCGGAGTGACGAATCCTGAGGGCAAAAAGCGCTACATCGCCGCGGCATTTCCGAGCGCCTGCGGCAAGACGAATCTCGCGATGATGAAGCCGAGCCTGCCGGGCTACAAGGTCGAGTGCGTCGGCGATGACATTGCCTGGATGCGTTTTGATGGCCACGGCAAGCTCAGGGCTATCAATCCGGAAAACGGCTTCTTCGGAGTGGCGCCCGGCACTAGCTCGGCCACCAATCCCAACGCCATGGCCACCATCTTTCGAAACACCATATTCACCAACGTGGCCAAAACGAGCGACGGTGGGGTCTTTTGGGAAGGCATGGAGAAGGAGGTACCCGACAACATCCAGGTGGGTCACTCGTGTAATTTTCAAATCCGTTGCAGTGCCATTGTGGCTCATTCTAATTCTAATTCCACAGATAACAGACTGGCACGGTAAGGCTTGGCAGCGTGGCTCCAAGACACCTGCGGCCCATCCAAACTCTCGTTTCTGCACCCCGGCTAGCCAATGCCCCATCATCGATCCCGCCTGGGAGGACCCCCAAGGTGTGCCAATCGACGCCATTCTATTTGGCGGTAGACGGCCCACGGGTGTGCCTCTGATCTACCAGGCGCGTGACTGGCAGCACGGTGTTTTTATCGGAGCTTCCATGAGATCCGAGGCCACTGCCGCTGCCGAGCACAAGGTGGGTACGATTAATTTAATCGGTGGAACTCGTTGTGGCAACGATGACTCGATTATTCCGATTCCAGGGCAAGGTAGTAATGAACGACCCGTTCGCGATGCGACCTTTCTTTGGCTACAACTTTGGCGACTATCTGATCCACTGGTTGAGCATGTCGAGGGTTCCCAATGCCCAGCTGCCGGCCGTATTCCACGTCAATTGGTTCCGCAAAGGTCCAAATGGCTTCCTTTGGCCAGGATTCGGGGAGAACTCGCGGGTTCTTGACTGGATTCTGCGAAGAATCGACGGAGAGGACGTGGCGGTTGAATCACCCATCGGCTACCTGCCGAAACCCGAATCCCTGAACCTCGAGGGTCTCAGCGAGAAAATCGACCTGCAAGAGCTGTTCAGCCTGCCCAGGGAGTTCTGGCAGAAGGAGGTCACCGAGCTCAGGGAGTACTTTGACTCGCAAGTCGGCCAGGACATGCCGGAGGCTATTCTGAAGGAGCTCAACAAGCTGGAGAGTTCTGTTGCCAAGTTGTAGAACTGGCGTTGACTAAGGAAGGGATGAGTCGTCGTTTTACTTTTATTGCTGCCTCTTCCTGTTCACTTGAGATGCAGCTTAATTTTTGTAGGTTTCCTTGAACCACTTTTTCTCGTCTGTTTGCTTCTTTGTATAGAGCTGCTCCTTTGACGGTTTCGAACCAAAGTATTGTACTCCAGGACGCTCGAAAACATAGCGAATATTGAAAGATTGTACATAGTATTAGTTTAACTTTACATTCCAGTGAGACGAAACGATTTTCGTATTCAATTGGTATGGAAGTATCTACGCGCGGGCACTTGTTACGCGACGATTTACCACCTAATAGACACATTGTTGAACATTTTGTTTTATAAAGAATGTGTGGGTGTGTGTGTGCGCCGAACGGATGTGATACTGTAAGTGTTAAAATAAAGATTAGTTTTTTATTCAAGTAACTGTATTATGTTCGTTGTTTCACCTCTTTTACATGGAAATAGTAGGAAATTCCGTGAATCGGGCCATACGTTAATTGAAATTTGAATGCTGCAGTTTCTATTTTACTATCCGATGGTAAGCAGTTAAAAGTAACAACGGGGTGCAGATCTTTGAAACATCGCAAATGGCAAGTATATGTACTTGCTCGTTTTCTTCTATGTACGATAGATGAGGCTACTTGTCCAATTTTGTATTTTATCTAAATTTTCAAAGTTTTTAACTAATTTTGAAAACAGTTACCATATTGTAAGAGATTACTTTTTGCCATCTCTAAACCATCAACGATTCGAATGAAAAATTTATTAGAAAAATCCTTCGCTCCGAAACTTCCATCAATCGGTCCTTTTAACTCACTTTGAGTATCAAAAAAAGAAACGAACAACTATCTATAACTTTCCATATACCAAAACATCAATCGAAGCAACATCAAAAAAACTACTTTGAATTTTTCTTGCATCAGCGCTCTTGTGCCTGCACTTCTTAAAGTATCTTTTGTACTTACGATTCAAGAGAAATTCACCTCCCGGACATGCAGCAGCACCACCAACAGCCGTCAATCCGTTATAATTTCTCCGCTAATAGAATCCAAAATTTCGTGCCTGGATCGTGCGCCGCATCTTTTATAAGATGCGTATACACTTACGCGAGTGTACGCTCTCTCTCGCTCGATCGCAGCTCTTTCTTTCTTGCTGTCTTTCTCTCGAGGCACATTTCACGGTACATTGCTTCCGGTTTCCCATCCCATTAGTCCCCATCTACTTACTTTCTGCGATGACTCCTCAAACGCTTGGGCTTAAATTGTTTTAATTACGCAGTGATTGTGTAAATATATTACTGCCATTAGGGGCCTTTTATTTTTTTTTTTTACGTGAAACATTTGAATTAAAGGAGATTGAAATTACTCACGTAAATGTCGGTGTAGTTTATCGTCACGTTACGTTAAATACAAACATGTACACGCCAAAAAAATGTCACTAAATGGTAAATCTACTTTATTCGTAAAAATATTACTTGAACCAATCAAACAGGTCATCAATGATTACGTTGAAGGATATTATCCGTTCCCGCTAACAAATTTGAGTACAAATCTATCAAAGATATCGATAAACATATGGATGAAATATTATGTGGTAGGCTAAAAAATTTAATAGATTTTGTAAAACAACCAAAAGAAACTAAAACCAGAGCTAACATTCCATTTTTCAAGCCCATCTTTAACCACGGACTTTCAGTTTTTTTTTTCTTTGGAGCTCAGTAAAATTTTTCTCCCTTTTCATCTCTACATCCCATTTTGTTTCATCCACCTTGTATATCTAACGTCCACTTGCACCTTGCACTTACCTAAACCTATACCTTTTGGGTGAGGCCTCGTAGGCAATATTAATCCTTTGCAACATCTCAAGTCCGCTACCTTGTATGGATAAACAAAACGATACGAAAAAAAAATATTCAGAGTATAGACGGGAGATTGATTCTTTTTTTTTATGACTCATCAATCCATTGGATTTTCGTAATAATTCTCGGAAAAGCCCACTTCCTACGTGGATAGCCTGTCAACAGCTCCAAAAGCCCCCAACGACGCAGCCAGCCATCAGCAAGATAATATACTCATAAATCGGCAGAGGCCGATGACGGACTGAGAGAGATGCCCGGTTCTGCGTGTATACCGATATACAACCTGGCTGGACATAGTGGATCATTCGAATGCATCGGGCATAGTGTCGGGGCTCGCTATACATCGACAGGGCCAAATAAGGCCGAGAGAGAGAGAGAGCCGCCGTCGGGAGGACCTCGGGTTCAAAGATGCGGCATATATATTTACCGGTAGCGACGGCCCGCAAGAATGGAGCGACAAACCGGAGGGGGAATTCGATACAGAGAGAGAGAGAGAGAGATCGTATCGCCCGCGTTGAATATTATAGGCAGAGTATGGACAGGACGTGTGCTGCTGGACGTTTTTTGATGTCCGACTTGATGAGCCGAGCAGGTAGTATACGCTCGATCATAAAGGACGGATTATTCAGGAGTTCGGATGTGGCGAAACGAATCTTCATTGCCGAAATACTCACCTTGGTGGTGATACTGAACAATGGGTAGCTGTTGGGTGGAGCTGTAACTCCAGTGTAATTCCAAGAGGACAGACTCCGAATGTTTTCCAAAGCCAAGCGCAGTAAAGATGGGTGACCTACAAGCTCCGGAGACGCGCGATACCCGTCTGCCCGTGGAGGCAAAAAAAAAGCAACTCTCCCGAGAATAGATTATGTTACGTGCTTGTGCCACGGCGAGGGCGTGACTCGAATGTGTTATGTGGTCAACGTGCCTAGCTTCTACTCGTGTTCCTGCTGTAGCGGTGGAAAGGATAAATAGCCTCCATACAGTACTTGTACCATTTCTCTCTCTCGCGATCGTATATCTTACAATGGAGGACTCGATTGATTGAGAAAGCTCGGAGGCTTTGCACATTTTTACTCTCTTCTCAACAGTAGTGCTGCGCGCGACTTGTCACTTTACAAGTCAAATGAATTGATGAAGTAACATATGAAACAAACAATAAATCTGGGTTTAAGACTTTTACATCCTGTATGTGTTACATCACTGTCCGTGTCGGCTTTCTCGCTCATCATTTTTTTTTAATAATCATCGAGAAACACGTTTTCCTGGATGTAATCAACAAAGTTGTTAGGGCAGCAGTCTTAACATAAAGTGAGAAAAGGTGTCTCTTAACTCACCAAATATAATCCCAATTTTCGGAAATATGCGTGTCTGCAACAAGTTGCAACAAGTTTGCATGGTGATGAACTTTGTAATGTCCTAGAAAATTCTCTATACTTCTCTGACAATTCAAACTATTCAGGTATAATTTATTATAGTCATTTTTAATTGGAACCCTTTACCTCGCGTGACAAAAATTGCAATCCTTTTTGAAATCCTTTCGCCTGCGATAAGGTTACCTCTTCACAGCTTACGTCTTAACGTTTAAGTTGTACGATTGTAGAATATTGAATTTTCAAAGCTTGAGGTTAAGATGGACTGGCAAGATTTATAGCAATTTAGTATACTTTTATAGTCTACAGTCACAGACAACTAGTTGTTTTTTGCGTGTAGGAATTGTTCGCAGTTCAGTACCAAAAGGATTGCTTTTAACATTAACGAACAAATCAAGAAGATTACCTTCACATCTGTTCAACGAAGCGGCAGTGATAGTATAGATATAGTTTGCACAATGCAAATCGGCACGCATCTTATATGAAGGGGGAGAAGCGGTAGGTGGGTCGTCTGATGCTTTCCACGTGAGGCAGTTGTTGAAGCCAAAGAGACGCAATGCGCCGAGAATATCAGGTACAGGTGTATTCGCCCATATAAATACACGAGACACGGAAGTCGCGGCGGCAGCGAGAGGGTCGCCGTTCCTCGTGTACATAATATATACTCTCCGCATGCAGACACGCACCGACTCAGATCCATGACGCCCTGCACCTTAGCCATATCTCCTCTTTGCCCTGCTCCACGAAATTATCTATCTCTTGTTTGCGATGAAGATGTCCTCTTGTTGTTTTATTTTTTCATTCTATCAAAGTCATTGGTCAAGAATGTCTCGTAAAAGGCAACATATTTTTGTATGAATATATTACGCTAAATGTAATTTTTATGGCTCGCATATTCTAACATTTTTTTGTTAGATGTGCAAAATGAGGATGCGTACAATGCACGCTGGACTTACTTTCGCGGAAAATTAAATACAATCACTTGGTAACGTTCTTATTGTTAGTGTATAAAACTGATGGCACATGCATGTCACACATTAATATAATCTCAATTAGCCCCATTTAAAAAAATATTTTTACGTCTAATTTGAAAATAATAAAGAGAATATATATTTTTCACAATCCTGATTATACATTAGTTATATCATAATACAGGTCTGCAAAGTTACTCGATCAATCACTTTTTACACTGTTGTAAGGGTCATATGTACAGGACCAAAAAAAATTTATTTTACACTACTCTAAATGAACTTTACAGTGCAGTATATACTAGAGTTTTTCTTTGCAACTTGGGGGACATTTTAGAATTATGTCATGATAAAAAATTTTTGCTTTATATAATGGCTCATTGAGATTTGGATTTCCCGATGATGACTTCTTTTTCACGTCAACGATCTTTATATGTAATTTACGTAAAATCCACACATTATTTTTATACACGATTGAAAAAAGAAAAGAAATTGACTTCAAGGTTTCGTAAAACCTTTTCTTCGTAACCCATCGCACTGCACACTCTTGAATTAATGCAACGCACTTTTCTCGATGCGTACGAGAATTTGCTAATACCCTCACGTACAGCAATTTAAACTTTTAAAGTGTCCTTACGCGTGTGGGCACGAGTGACATGGATCAGAGATGTATGATTTAGCGTCACATGCCGACTTTTCCCTTCTCGGATGGGCGAGGAGAGGTGCCGATGGATCGCCAAAGTGGGCCAAAGGAACGCATATGTGCTCGGAAAAATTAATAGCCCGGACACTGCCAGAGAAAAAATTGTAGTGACCGGCGATGCACTCGGTGGCAAATTTCAAAAGGAGAAAGCGCACGTGCGCCATCGGATGATGATCATGAGTGTACGCATAGCTGTTGAGGTGTGCAACTCTGCCCATACGCCCATTGAATTGAAAATGTCTCATGGTAACCGATGAAATAGTGTCACACTCCCGAGGATGCACCGATCGAGATACCAATGGGTACCTTTTACTGTATACTCATAGGGACACTTGGAAAATCATTACTATACTTATGTGCGCCCAATTGATATGCTCGGCAGTTGTTTTGCAAAATCATAAAAACTAACGTAACTTTGGTCCCTCGTTGAATCTCGTGGAACCTTGTTGTCGTAACTTTAGTCAGTCGGGAGGTTTTGCGAAGCAAAGAGAGACCAAGCAATTTGGGTAGGTTTATTTGCCTCA